AACTTGTAACGACCCAATTTTCACAACCAAAATTTTTTTGTTTAAAAACGTTACTTTAGAAAATATTAATAACTAAAACATCGTTTGATCAATCATAATATAAACTGAACCATGTCTGAAAACCACAACGTAAACCAATCAGAATATCAGAGTATCAATCCCAGAAAAGCTCGTAAATGCGGGAACCGGAGAGTGTGTGTGTGACATGCTGCTACCGCGCCAGCTCCTTTCCCCTAGCTGAGGAGGTACCTGAAACCAAAACTGAAACTGTAAGCACAAAGCTTAGTGAGTTCCCCCATAATTGTTGGATAAGGTGTCTAAGTCCATAACTATTTCTGGTATGTACTTGACCCGACCCGGCATGGTCCATTTGGGTTGCATGGCACCATGCAATTGGATAGACTAAATGAGAGAAATAACACTTGGAGATTATTAATATATTATAAGTTCTAATATTAATAAATATTATTTGATTAGTTTGATCAAGAATTAATTTAGAATTAAGGACAAAGTACACGAATGGTCCCTATGGTTTAGTGTTTGTTACGCGCCTAGTCCCTAACTCCATTTTTTAACCATGCCAATCCTTAATAGTTTGGTTTAGTGCACGGATAGTCCCTCATCTAACATTCCGTTTGATTTTGGAGTTAAAACCCCCACGAGCCTTGCACGTTGAGGGGTATTTCCGTCATTTTACTTATTCATCCTATAAAAACCCTAGATCAGTGCATCCCCCTTTTCTTCCTCTACGTTTGTTCTCTCATTTCATCTCTCGTTTCTTTAATGGACAAAAAATCAACAATGATGAAATGTAATTGCGGGCAACCAAGTGTTATACTGACATCATGGACCGACGACAACCCCGGAAGGAAGTTTTATGGCTGCACAAAGAAGGTAAGGTCGTTTTGATTCTAACTCAAGCTTTTGTGTGACAATGACCGCAAATCTGTTGGATTTGAACTTGACAGGGACCTAAATGTAAGTTTATTGGATGGTTGATGAGGAAGGATGTGGACGATGTACTAGGATAATTCCAGGGTGTTGAAGGCTAAGAACAAAGTTGAAGCTGAGAATCGACTGCTGAAGATAATCATTATTTTAAGTTGGGTGTTCATAGGAATCATTATTTACAAGTTGTAGTGCTTAAGAAGATCCAACTAGTATGCTATGTCTGATGTTTGTCTTTTTTGAACTTATTTTGACTTCTATGATCCATCTAGTTGGTTGTTGTATGTGAATTTGAAGTGTTTTGAAGTGTTTCTGGAATGTATTTTGATTAAGTGTTTGTGAATTTGATAATATATTTTGGTTAAGTGTTTTTGGAGCTTATTTTGACTTCTATGAGCCATGTATTTTCATCAAGTGTTTCTGGAACTTTTGGAAAAGTAAACACTAACAATTGACAAAAACAACCAATAACATATGCTAACAATCGACATAAACAACCAATAGCACAAGTGGGATTTAATAAAGGGTAATTTAGTTTCCATACTTTCCATAACATAGTTTCATACATCAACAAAATGGTTAATAGTTTCATACATCAACAAAATGGTTAATAATTTCATACATCAACAAAACGGTTAATAGTTTCATACATCAACAAAATGGTTAACCAAAAGAAACATAATTTACCCAAAAGTATTAACCATAAGGACACAGTTTTACCAAAAAGACACAATTTAACCAAAAGAACTATTAACCAACAAAATAAACTTTCACTAATAGATCAAGACAATGTCATCAATTTCCCTCAACCAGCTTTTCCTTTTCCCTTACCAGAACCACCAGGACCACCAGAACCACTAGGAGCATTAGCTTTTTGTCCCTTACAACTCCTTGCATTATGACCAATGTTGTTGCACTTTGAACAAGTAACCGACTGAAGGATTCTTGATGCACTATTACCCTTCACCATGTCATCAATTTCATAAGCTGATTTTCTGCGTTTCTTCTTTGGTCTACCAATTGTGACATGATGTTTAGGAGGAACCAAAGTTGTTGGACACACAGACTTTTCCCACATGCTTCTCCCATTAATGGGCTCAATTTTGAATGAGTACATCTGTTTCCAAGTTTTTAGCCAATATACCTCATGCACCCAAGTTTCTGGTATTCCAACATCCTTACTATTCTTCCTCATCTCCCATATAGTAGCAACAGCATGTTTGCATGGCATCCCAGTGAGTTCCCATTTCCTGCAGGAGCATGTTTGTTGAACCACATCCACCGCGCATTGGTCCATCCAAGGGCCACTTACCTGATACTTACCATTTCCACAAAATACAGATCTATAATCTTCTGCCTGTTTTTTTATATTTTCCAAAGTCTGCATAGCTGTAGGTGTCAAAGGACCAGTACATTTCCCAATGGCCTTTTCTACATTCACAATCTTCTTCATTAGATATTCCCTAATGAACTCTAGGCAAGTAATAATTGGTTTATCACGACCCTCATTCAGTTTTCCATTGAATGTTTCACACAAGTTATTAAGAATCACATCAGAATGTGCTCTCCCTGTCCAATCACATCACTTAAAGTCAATTAAATAAAACTACACAAACCAGGAAAACATAAAGAATGTTATTAGAGTTAAATGTTATACCAGTGAAATGGGACCTAGACCAGTGCTGAGGTGGTATCTTCTTAAGCCACTCATAACAATCCTTGTTTAATTTCTTTAGCTCTTCCATGCCTTTGTTAAACTGTTGTACATGTGTTGCAGTTGCACATGTCCATAAGAGGTCTTCGAAAGGTTTACCCCTCCATTGCTTCCTCATGTTATCCCGAATGTGACGAACACAGTAACGATTTTCAGCACAAGGAAACAAGTCCGCAATTGCATTTAGAATACCCTAACAATCATACATAGATTTTGTTAGTAAACAATTTAGAAAAAAAGTAAAAAAAAATCTATGATTTTAGTACCTTTTGTCTGTCTGTTATAAAAGTGAAATTAGAATTGGTATTCAAGCCAAGATCCTCCCCAAGACAACTCAAAAACCAAGTCCATGAACTGATGTTCTCTGTTTCAACCACCGCATATGCCAATGGATATGTGCCATTATTACCATCTAGTCCCTGCATTTTATGATAAATAACAATCATGAATAGATTTTTACTTATTTTTATGTATAACAATAAGTAAAAGAACCATAACTAAAACTTACCACGGCTGAAAGAATTTGTCCTGGAAATGGACCCTTCATGAAAGCACCATCAAAGCCAAGAAAATCCCTCTTTCCAGCTGCGAAGCCTTTCTTTAAAGCTCCCAAGCATATGTAAATGCGTCTGAATGTCCTCGTTTCACTGTGTGGATTTCCTTCGCTTTCAACATCAACCCTAACAGTCGTATCTGGGTTACGAGTTTGCAACTCAACAATGTAATCTCTGAGTAAACTATACTGAGTAACGAAATCTCCTTGCACAAGGTTTAGAGCCTCAGATTTTGCCCTAAATGTTTTCATCCTAGAAAGATCTACCTTAAACCTCCGTTGTAGCTGTTCTTGCAAAGCCCTAATTGGAACAACAGGGTTACTTTCAACCTGTTCAACAATTTTAGAAGAGAGGAATTTATACGTACATGCTTTTACTGTTCTAGTTTGAAGACATTTATGGACTTTGTTGTACGTTTTAACTGTCCAGTTGACATCTTTTTTCCATTTACTAGCTAATAAGACCCAAGGACATATTTCTTCTTCATCGTTGACTTCTACATTAGGCCCAAGCTTTGGTATTGTTCCCTTACAAACCCATCTCACTCTATTCTTGTCATTTTTTTCAAGAGCCAGCTCCCTTCTAGTCTCTATGGCATGGAGTTTTACCTTATCCTTAAACTCCTTTGCTGAACCAAATTTTTGAAAAATATAGAAGGGTTCACTAACAAGTGCTTCATCATTCTCATGTGCCCTTTGAATTGCTCTTATTGATTTCTTTCTTTGACCATTAATCCCCTCATCTGATGATGAATCAGATGCTAAAAAGTCAGTGTTAATCACCTCTAAAGCTTCATCCTGTGTGCCTTCATCAACCACAGTGTTAGACGACCCTCCAACCCATTCCACATCTTTGTCGATATTCATTTCAAAATCTTGCATATCCACATTAATATCATCCAATATATTTTCAATGTCCACAAAAAAATCACTATCATCACTTTCATCATTGTCACTCTCTAACTCACCAAACTTACCAAAGTCATTAGCATCATTAACCAAGTCATTCTCCATATGATCAGTGAGAGTAGCATCATTACCCAAATCATTCTCCATATGATCAGTGACAGTAGCATCATTACCCAAATCCTTCTCCAGATGACCAGTGGGTGTAGGATCATTACCCGATTCTTTCTCCATGTGATCCATGTCATCCTCCAAGTCAACAGCAGGTGTGCTATGCCACTCCAGGAACAGTGTCTTTGAACAAGATGGAGGTTCAGTAATCTCCGTTATACGAACTTTACTGTGGGTTGGGGACATTAAATAGGTGTGCAGAGTAGTTTTGTCATGCTCTATATATACCTCAATTAACTTATGCTTAGCCACAAAACTCCCCAAATAACGAACATCTTCATCACTAGCTAAAGCGAATAACCCAAAATCTAAATCGCCTAAAGGCCTTTGAAAGTGATAGTAAAGTGGTTTACCTATTGAAGCATACCCTAGGTCTTCCATCATCTCATCAATGTCATGAACGGAAAAGGTATCAATGTCCAGTAAATCAACAAATGTTTTCTTCCCACGAATATACTTCCTTCCAGGAAAGCTTGTAAACTCACCTCCATGGTGCATTCTTATTGAAAACATTGTCGGATGTCCAGCTGTAGAGGAGAGAATCGTTTTTAGCTAACAAAATTAAACCTTTAACAGTCAATATCATTCAAACGAAAGTCAATCAAACATACCATAACTTTGATCAACGTCGATTTCATCCATTTCACCACGAATGTGCCAAGAAACCATTGCAATTCTTTGTTCTTGCAGTCGTCGATACTAGGGTTTTCACGTAAGGATTTTGCACAAAGTTGTGTGTTTTTTTGGGTATACGATTGTGTAATGTAGAGTATGATCGTTTAATTGAACGCATCGATTTCTTAAACTGGCGGTAGGATGAATAAGTAAAATGACGGAAATACCCCTCAACGTGCAAGGCACGTGGGGGTTTTAACTCCAAAATCAAACGGAATGTTAGATGAGGGACTATCCGTGCACTAAACCAAACTATTAAGGATTGGCATGGTTAAAAAATGGAGTTAGGGACTAGGCGCGTAACAAACACTAAACCATAGGGACCATTCGTGTACTTTGTCCTAGAATTAATTATGTGATCAAAAGATAACTAATTAAATATATGGGTTGATTATGTAAATCATCCATATCTTGTATAGTGGGCTAAAAGGCTCCATGGACTATCAAGTTGGGTTCCACCCATAGGATGCTCCATGGATGCTCCATGGGAGTTACAAACCCATGGGTCATGGAAATGAAGAGTCATGACACATTAGGGTTTAACCCTAGATGTGTCAACACTATATAAGTAACATGTTCTCCACCTAAAATCGGCTACACTAAGAAACAAGAGGGCTTGGCCGATTTTGAGAAGTGTGTGTTCTCTCATAAGTTCTTCCAAGAGCATTTGGTGTTGTGTGAAGCATTTGAGGCATCACACTTGGGGTGCTAGGCTCACAAGGTTTCAAGGAACACAAACAACAACAAGGTAAGTTATTCTATCTATACTTTATGATAAAATTGTTCCCCATGTATGCTAGATAGGAATATAACCTTGGAATTCAACTTTGCATGATAATTAGACAAACATAGATCCAAGGTTATTAGGGTTGCATGTACACTTAGGAAGTGTTAGAATGCTCAAAACCCATCAGTGGTATCAGAGCCCAGGTTTGTTTGCTCTTATTTGTGCTTAAAAGTTGAAAAAAAGAATCGGAAATCTTGTTGTCTGCGAATGGACTCGTCGAGTCTATAGGGGGGACTCGTCGAGTTCATGAGTATCTTCAACCAACTCGGCGAGTGAGTTCATGCACTCGGCGAGTAGGGTCGACTGATTGCAGAATTTCGATTTAGTTACTGGAAATGAATTAAAAACATTACCCTAAACTGTTTTGGTAATTGAAAACTTGTTTTTGATGGTGTAATGTCTTTGCTAATTCATTTACAACAACTAGTTATCAAAATTACAATGTTTTAAATTTAATTTTTGATTGTGTTCATATTCATGTTCTTGTTCTTATGATGTTTTAGATGATCATAGGAATTATTTGTAACCTATGTGGTAGATTAATTCTTGATCATAATGTGTTTTAATGGAGTCCATAACTTATCCTTAAGTTATGGAAAACCAAGAGTCATACTTGAGTTAAAACCATTAAAACAAATACAAGAGTTAGAAAAATGAAGAGTCTTCATTTTATTACTCTATTAAACTCATAAGTTACAAGAAATGAAAAGTTTTGAAAGTTACAAAACTTGCCCTCAAGTTTTGGAACAAGTAAAGTTAAGTTAAAACTTTAAGTTACAACCCCTAGAATTTTAAAAGTTAAAATTCAACCCTTATACTTATATTATGATGATTTAATAATTATATATATATGTATAAGAATAAAGTCGTCTTACCGCTAGTACGCCTCATTCACGAAGCCGGTCTATAAGGTGGGTATAAGGTTGTTGCCTATAAAATGGTGACTTAATGGGTGTATATTCTCACCCACCGCTTGCTTGACTGGTGGAGGGTCGTTAGCCGAACGGGTAAGACAAGGACTTATAAATTCTCATTCAAAGTATGATGAATATAATAAAGTAACTAAATGTTTATTAAATTCCCAATCTTAGTTACTTTAGGAAAATGTGAATAAGGTGCTAATCCATGAAATTACACTTTACACTTTGTCTAAGTCGTTGGTGGAGCGTGTGTGGTTAACCGGCACACTAACTTGGACTTAACAAGGTAGGTAAAGGGTGACTTAAGGTTTATTATAGTATCGGTGGAGCGTGTGTGGTTTACCGACACATCGATTGAGTGATAAACTTTAAGGGTACCAAGTGATTTGCATGGTTACTTCACACCTCGTTTTGTGATCCTCGGTATCCCAATCACAAAACTTGGAGGGCACTCTCGAGATTGAGACATGCCTTTGAAAAGTTCATTGGATCTCAAAGAATCTAGGAATTTCTAAAACCAATAAAAACTAAATATCTAATATTTCGATTTTCACGGTGGAAATTGGTGAATCGTCATTCACCTACCTTTCAAATATGGTATAGCTTAGATTACGGCATACCTCTTCTAAGTTATATTATATTGTGATTGGATCCTAGCCTTAATATTACATTTGGGTGTTTTATTAAGGACTCCCTTAAATCTATACTAAACTTGTTCTTCTCTTTCAGATGTCTTCAAATAATGCTTCTGGCTCGAATCCTAATGGCTCCTTTACTCTTATGAGTTTGTGTGGGAAAGTCACCTTTGATGGATCCAACTTCAATAAATGGATCAGAAACATCAGGATGATTACCCGCTACGAGGACAAAGAATATGTCCTTGACAAGGAGCTTAAGGAAATTGATGAGTCCACTGCAACTCCCAGGAGATCGCTGACTTTCATACTCATGAAAGAGATGCAACCAAGGTGGCTTGCATCATGTTGGCCACAATGACAGCTGAACTCCAAAAGTCTTATGAAGATTTCTACCCTTATGAAATGCACCAAGATTTGATGGAAAGATACCATCAAAGTGCACGACAAGAGAGGTACGAAGTCATCTGCTCCATGATAACAACCATGATGAAGGACGGAGAGTCCGTCACGAGCCACATGCAGAAAATGCAAAGGTATGTGGATCGTTTGCTGAAGCTTAATGTGAACTTCCCTGAGGAGCTTGCAATAGATATCATTTTGCACTCCTTACCATCGTGCTATGATCAATTCCGCATGACATATCACATGAACAAGGAAGAGGTCACCCTCAGCAAACTTCAGGGACTTCTCAAGACCGCAGAAACAGGTCTTAAGGGGAAGTCGGTTGCTATCACTCCTACTCCAGACTCAACTCCGGTCTTGGCAATCGGGCAAAGTCAGGGAGGAAGAGAAAGAGATCTTCGAAGGGTACCAAGGCTCGGACCCTTGATGGCTCTTCTTCAAGTGGAACCAAGAAAGGTTTCATTACTCCTTCTTCTGACCCAAAAGAGGCTGAATGCTTCTATTGCCATGAAAAAGCTCATTGGAAGCGAACTGCCCAAAGTACCAGCAGGATGTGAAGGATGGGAAAGTCAAACCCAACCATGCAGGTATTTACACTATCATTTCTAATAACTCACCCCATTCGAAATCTTGGGTCCTTGATACCGGTTGCGGTATTCATATTTGTTGTGACTTGCAGGGACTAGGAAGAAGTGAGAATGTGGAGCAAGGAAGAATAAACTTAATCATGGGGAATAGGAAAGTTACACTGTCACCAAGATTGGAGTTTATACTTTATCGCTAAGTAGTGGGTTAAATTTAGATTTGAATAAATGTTGTTATTCGCCAGAAATGGCAAGAAATATTATTTCCTTTCATGCATTGTACAAACAAGGTTTCACCTTTTCGTTTGATAATGAAGTTGGTTCGATTAATGCTTTCTTTAATAATGTTACTTTATTTTAAAAGCATTACCTTGTGATGGTGTGTATGAAGCTGTATCTATTGTAGATACTTAGGAAATAATGTTTTGTGTATTGATTCTACTAATAATAATAACTTGGATAAAGCATCATTATGGCATTGTCGTCTTGGACATATAAGCAAGAAAGCATAGGCCAACTCCAAAAGATGGAGTCTTGGAGTCGTTTGACCTAAAAGTCAAATGATAGTTGCGAATCATGCTTACTTGGAAAAATGACAAAGTCACCCTTCACAGGCTCGTGTGAAAGGGGTGAAGGTTTGTTGGACCTTATACACACGGATGTGTGTGGACCATTCAAACATGCCACAAGGGATGCTAATCGTTATTATTTGACTTTTACTGATGATTAAGTAGATATGGATATGTCTACTTAATCAAGCATAAGTCAGAGCTTTCGAGAAGTTTAAGGAATTTAAACAGGAAGTCGAGAATCAATTGGGCAGGAACATTAAGATGCTTCGATCCGATCGAGGTGGTGAGTATCTTAGTTCAGAGTTCCTCGCTATCTAAGGAATGTGGGATTGTCTCACAATTGACACCTCCAGGACACCGCAGTTGAATGGTGTGGCTGAGAGGCGTAATCGAACCTTGTTGGACATGGTTCGTTCCATGATGAGTCGAGCTTCGCTACCAATCTCATTCTGGGGGTATGCCTTAGAGACTGCCGCCCATATCCTTAATCTAGTCCCTACAAAGAAAGTTGCCAAAACTCCTCACGAGATGTGGACTGGTAAAGTACCTAAACTAGACCACATCAAGATTTGGGGTTGCGAGGCTTTCGTGAGACGCGAGACTCATGATAAGCTCGAACCCCGAAGCGAGAGGTGTATTTTCATCGGCTACCCACAGCAATCCTTTGGTTACCTCTTCTACAGACCTAGTGACAATGTGGTCTTTGTAGCAAGAAGAGGAGTCTTTCGAGAAAGAGTTTATAAGCCAAGGAGACAGTGGGAGGCAAGTTGATCTTGAAGAAATTCAAGAGTCAAGTGGTGAAGGAACTTCAAACTCTAGCCCTCAACTTGAGGAGGAAACTCCTGTTGAGCCAATTGACGAATCTGTACCTCTGAGGCGTTCCACGAGAGTTAGGAGTGCACCTGAGCATTACTATGGATTCCATATTACTGCAGAAGGTGAGACACTTATTAGTGATGAGACACTAGTAAGTCAAGATGACCCTAACAGCTACGAGGAAGCCATGGCAGGCCCCGAGTCTGCTAAATGGAAAGAGGCTATGGATAGCGAGATACAATCCATGTATGACAATCAAGTTTGGAACTTGGTTG